CGGACATGCTACATAGCAGCCACCTCACCATGAACAGCAGAAACTCTATAAAGCAGAAAAGCAAATTTGAGTCTCTTTTTTATAATTTTTATACCTTTCCTGTTGCATAAATCATGAAGTTATGTATAATCTTTGTGGTTGCTTGAGTAGAGGCCATAGGACCATGTAGAAGGAATACTTCTCCTGGCCCTGTCAAATTCATATTTGTGGTTCAGAGCCATTAGAATAAAAAGTGGTTAAATATGCTGGCCTCCTTGCACCAGCCAGGTGTGGCTCTGCGGTTGGGCATCGACCTAGGATCTAGGAGATCGCAGTTCGATTCCCGGTCGGGGCACGTGCCTGTGCTGTGGGCTCCATCCCAGTTGGGGGCATGCAGGAGGCAGCTGATCAATGACGACTCTTATCGCTGATGTTTCTATCTCTCTCTCCCTCTCCATTCCTCTCTCTGAAATCAATAAAGATATATTAACAACAACAAAAAAAGCTGACTTCCTTTAAGTGCTTGTGATAAGTGACTAAGAAACGATAATAACCTTCTGCAAGATAGCATAAAATGTAATAAATAGGATGCTTTATGGAGCAATTAACTATTAATTATTCATTAGTCACTAATTAATACATAGTTGGACTCTATCAAAAAGAATTACATTTTAAATTGGACTGAAAGTGATTTCTTTTGCAATTGTAATAACCAATATCATAGCTGATTTAATGCTTACTTTGCTCAATTTCCGAGCCCACGAGTGTGTGGGGTTGCAGGGTGGAGGGACAGAAGATAAATTTTGAGTTTTATCTTTCACATGCTCTTTTCCCTCTTGGTCCACCATAGACACCTGAACCATTTCCAGTCTGATGAGAGAGTGCCAGGTGGAAGTGCTCTGATGGCCTTCACGGTGAACTTGGGTTGGCAGTTTAGTTCGTGAGTCCGGCCCAGGTAGCAGACAATGCGAGGCGGCCCCTGACCCAGCCTTCGCTCTAGCTGCCCTGGCTTTCTCTTCATCTCAGGGCAGAAGCACAGGCTGGGCGTTAGGCAGTGATCTTATTTATCCAAATTAAAAGAACACAGCCAACTAAAGGAGGGAGGGGAAGCTCTCTTCCATTTTATCTCATTTATAGAAACTCTGGATTGTAGTAGTCAAGCACAGTGTGTTCTCAAAGCCACATAATTCCTGGCATATCCTCTCTATTGTATTTCCTTTAACCAAATGTGTGAGTGTGTTCCTGTATAATTTGTGTGTGTGCGTGTGTATATATTCACAATATAGTGTATAGTATATGTATGTACATACATTTATATATATATTCACTCATTTCCATAGTTCTTAATATTTTCTGAATCTGTAACACATTTTAAAATATGAGTCTAAGTGATGGATCATCTCCCTAGAAAAATGTGTGTAAGTACATACTCAAAATCTGCGTGTAATTTTCTGAAAGCTCATTCATGTCTCAACCAACAGGCCCATGGTACGCTAAAAGGCTAAGCTTCCAAAACATTTTAAATATCATGTGTTGTTAATGGGCTTGCTCAGCTTATATGTAATGTACCACAATTTTCCCCCTGAAACTGAAAACCTGAAGGGTTATGCCAGTTGCTCATCTACAGCCTGACGCAGCTTGAGGATTTTCTGACCCAGGTCCTTTCGGTACAGCTAATCTACGGGGAATTTATCAGACACTGATTTGAGAGCAGGGTTTGTTCATGGCAGGACCAGCCAAAGGCCATAGGGACAGTCCACTTTCAGTTATTACGGCATTGTGGGTTTTAATCCCAAAAGTACACCAGCTTGTGTTGCCGCTAGTGCCCTCAGAAATGCTACTCAAAGCGCTACGCACGCTCCAAGGCCCAGTGTGCACCATTCTGTCGTGAGTTTTTCTTTCAGAAGCCATCTGCAGAATCAGTTACTGTCTTCCCGTTGCCCTTTGTTTGTAAGTACTCTGCTATAGAGTACTTAGCAAAGTCCCTTCCACTTTGAGCCACTTGTCTCTAATCCCTTTGTCTCCCTCCCTGCGACAGGATGACCTGGAGGAGCGCTCTTCCTTCCCTGCACACAGTAGGTGATTAACATGGGTTTAGAGGCAGTACGTATAGTGCTTAGGCACTTCAGCTCTGGAGACAAAAGACTTGGGTTCCAATTCCAGCTTTGCCATTAATTCTCTGTGTTTTTTTTTTTGTGTTTTTTTTAGGAAAAACACTTGATCTTTCCTAAGTATCAATTTTTATCTTTCTATAAAATAGCTATGATAATAGTACCCACCTAACTGGGCTGTTGTGAAGATTAAATAATAGAATACATGAAAAGCATTTAGCACAGCATTTGAATCATAGTGAGTGTTGAATAAAAGTTAGTTACATAATTTGTTAAACTAATCTTACAGGGAGTTTATCTTAATGGAGTTCCTTCAGACAGTCAACAGTGGTATACAGCCAGATATTAAAGGCAGCATAACTTTTTGGGGCAGAACTGAAATCTCATTTGGCTGATACAAGTTTCATCTTTTATCCTAGCCAGCTCCAGGGCATTGGAAGTAACTTTATGACACTGTTTGATACTGGTTTGCCTTCAGCATTGTTTCTATAACATAAAGACATGGATCGCTAGCCTCCAAGAAATCCTAAGACCAGTTGCAGGGGACTGATGAGGACAGTATCTTGAATCTGGTTTTTGAATCCTTTATTCCCATTTCTTTCTAGTCATTATCAAAAGGATCCTTTTCTTTCCTATCAAAGATTAGGTCATACAGATCAGATGCTGATAAATTCACTGCTAGAAAAAAATAACAGCTCACTTTATTGTGGTAACATCTTTGGATACAAAGAACACCACACATATTCACTCTTCAAAGACTTTTTAAAAGTTGCATCTATATGCATATCTTTAGCTAACTCCTCAAGCCTTTTTCAAACTGAGATTAAGTTGTTCTTGGAGTTTGTACATCTGAGTTTGAACAAATGTTTGAGGGCAGAGATTATATGTTATTCATGTTTGTACTTCTAGTTCATAGTATATCATCCAATATATGCAGTAAATAGTTGCTGATTAAAAATACATAAAGCGATATGTTGCATTGAAAAAGTTGGAGAATTTTTTTGTATTGGAATGTTTATTTTAAATAAACAGATTAAAATAAAAAATATTAAAAACTATTTGCACTTTGAAAGTTTGAGTAAGGAATCCATTTTTGAGAACATTTTTAGTATCTAAAAAAGATAAATTAGAGTATCTTGCTTTTGGGAATCAATTTTTGTTAATTAGCAGTCAGTACTCAATTCTTCATTATTGATGAAATTCTACACTTATTTTCTTGGTTTTATGTCTTTAACATCTGGCACATTTCTTTCTGACTTCTGTCTAAATGTGAATTTACTATGTGTTTTATGTATACGACATGGCAAAGTACAGTTTTATGGTCCTCACCTTTCTGTACAAATCACCCAGTAGCAGTAGATACTCACAAACTCCACTGATGTGATTCATTTGATGATGCAAAATTAGAATTATGTAAGAATTTACATTATTTGGGAATGGATTAAGTAGCCAATTGTGTTGATTGATTTCCTTTGTCTAATAAGATATTTGAAAAAAGTCAGAATTTACAGGAATACAAAATCTACTTGGGGGCTCTCAGTGCAGTCACTCATTTTGTTTTTCCCTAGTCAAGTATCTATGTTTCTCCAAGCACTAAATTTAGCTTCTAATATGGTTTAGAAAGTTTACTTTTAGTCTTTCTTTCCTTCTTTCCTTCTTTCCTTCTTTCTTTCTTTCTTTCTTTCTTTCTTTCTTTCTTTCTTTCTTTCTTTCTTTCTTTCTTTCTTTCTTTCTTTCTTTCTCTCTCTCT